AGAAATGGGCAAAAGACACGAATAGACACTTCGCCAAAGAAGACATCCAAATGGCCAACCGATACATGAAAAAATGCTCAACATAGTGATGTTGAGCGCATCACCAGGGAAATACAAATCAAAACCACAATGAGATACCACCTCACACCTGTCAGAATACCTAGCATTAAGAACTCAGGCAACAACAGATGTTGGTGAGGATGTGGACAAAGAGGATCTATTTTGCACTGTTGGTGGGAATGCAAACTGGTGCAGCCACTCTGGAAAACAGTATGGAGGTTCCTCAAAAAGTTAAAAATAGAACTACCCTACAACCCAGCAACTGCACTACTAGGTATCTATCCACGGGATACAGGTGTGCTATTTCTAAAGGGCACATGCACCCCAATGTTCATAGCAGTGCTATTGACAATAGCCAAAGTATGGAAAGAGCCCAAATGTCCATCGATGGATGAATGGATAAAGAAGATGTGGTATATATATACAATGGAGTTTTACTCGGCAATCAAAAAGAATGAAATCTTGCCATTTGCCATTACATGGATGAAACTAGAGGGTATTATGGTAAGCGAAATTAGAGAAAGACAAATACATGACTTCACTCATGAGGACTTTAAGATACAAAATAGATGAACATAAGGGAAAGGAAGCAAAAATAATATAAAAACAGGGAGGGGGACAAAACATGAGAGACTCTTAAATATAGAGAACAAACAGAGGGTTGCTGGAGAGTTGTGGGAGCAGGGATGGGCTAAATGGGTGAGGGGTATTAAGGAATCTACTCCTGAAATCATTGTTGCACTATATGCTAACTAACTTGGATGTAAATTAAAATATAAATTTTTAAAAATAAAAAAATTAAAAACTTTTTAAAAAGTATGTTAACTTGCGTGCTTCATACAGTCTTCAAAAACTAGTTACACAAGAGGTGAAACTAACATTTACCATACAGACTTAGACTTCCAACTCCTACTGGAATGTTTTGCTAGATCAACAATACCCGAAAGTGTTCCCTACTTTGGGATATTGCTGAAGATGTGTATCCTATACATGATAAAGGATGTCAGTCATAGTTAACATCTGGCATCCTTGAACATTGTACCTTGCAACATACTCCTCCCTGAGGAGCATCTATCAGTAGCTAAATGCACAGGACTCCGTGTAACAAGGTGCTTTTGTTGGCATTTAGCTGAGGGACTTATATTTGAAATTATTCCTTGATAGGGGTACCTGGGTGGCTCGGTAGGTTAGGCATCTGACCTTGGCTCAGGTCATGATCCAACAGTTCGTGAGTTTGAGTCTCACATCACAAAAGCTCGAGTCCGGCATTGGGTGAGCCCACTTCACTGTCTCTCTGCCTCTCACTCACTTGCGCCCTTTCTCTCTCTCAAAAAAACAAAAAACAATGAAACAACTCAAGGAATTATTCCTTGATAATCAGCAATAGAACTGAGAGCCCAAGAGGCTGACAGGAGTACTTAAAAGACAGCTTAACTGCAGAATATGATGTACCTGAGACTGGAAGTGAGAGCACAAAGAAGGGTGGGGAGCAGCTGCGGGGAGCATGTGAGCTGAGCCTCAAGGAGCTGTCAGAAAGTGCACTTTTGATATCTCAACTGCATGGAACCAGAATGCATGGAAACTGAACTTGAAGACAGTGTTGTGAGCACTTACACTTCTAGACCATGAAAATAAAAACTGGAGACAACGCTTCATGCAGATCAAGGGTCAGGGTGTGCTAATACTTTGTAACCAATTTCATACCTACTCTGGGAGGTAGGCTGTGGTCTTGAGAAGTCTCCCTCTTAAGAAAAGATCTGCAGATAAAATGTCTCCTGCAGAACCACAGTTTTCATTGCCATTTAGTGCGGTGGTATTCCTTGGAGCAAAGTCATCTGAAATGTTTTGAGGCCTCTATATTTACAAAACCCTGGGGTCTATTCCAAGGGTTTTCCTAGAAAAATGAACAACCATTCCCTCAAAAAAAAGTCACTGGTTTTTGCAAAGCTGGAATCTATGTTGTAGTCCCAGTTAATTGAAGAAGCCTAAGAACTTTTGACAGTTGTCTCTAGGGAGTGAAATAGGGGTATGCAGACTCTTGAGGAACATTTCATTTCTTTTGTCCTGATAAGCAGTAGATTTTTTTTAATATGAACTTGCATTACTGTTCATGTTTTGTACCATCTGTGTGTACTCACTCTTTTTAATGAATTTATAAGATACATTACTAATAATAAATGAAGCTGCATCCAAAAAAAATAGTTATTACCATTTACATATGCATTTAAGCATCCGACAAGATCTCGTGACTCGTGAGATCAGAACCCCGCATTGAGCTCCAGGCTGATGGTGCATGCCCTGCTTGGGATTCTCTCTCTGTCTCCTTGCCCCTCCCCTACTCCCAGTCTCTCGAAATAAACAGAAAAAAAAAAGGTCCTAATATGCAGCTCACCAAATGAGAAAAAAAGCCATTCATAGCAAGGCATGATTCTTATATAAAGAGACATTTTTAGATATTAAAAAATTTTTAATTGCCTCATGTCCCCTTTTTTTGGGAGGCTCCTGGAAAAGCATTATAGGGAACAGGGATGAAGGATGTGGCCACTCAGCACAGCCCCTGCCTCTGGGTGGTGGGTTTTACAAGAACTAGGGAGTGCCCTAGGGGGGATAGTGAAGGGCAAGCAGGAAGCAAGTGTAACAGAGGTCGTGGCTGGAGAGGACCAGGCTTCTCATTTCAGCAGTTCCTCACAGTTACCTGTGAGTCATCTGAAATCTGGCCTAAAGTATACACAACTCATTCTGTATTTGGAGCAAATTCTCTACATAGAAATTAATAGGGTTGCCACTTTTTAAAAATGGTTGAGAGTGAGCTGGAATGGGGAAGGTGCAGGAGAGGGGAAGAGAGAATCCAAAGCTGGTTCTGTCTGCACTGACAGCAGAGAGCCCGACGCGGGGCTCAAACCCACGGATGTGAGCTCATGGAGTGAACCAAATTGGGATGCTCAACTGACTTGAGCCACTCAGGCACCCTGCCACTGTTTAGCCAGGTATTTCATGGTTCTGTCTCAGAAAAAACCTTAAAGAAGGACTGTTCACCTTCTAGACCTGCAACACGCAGATGTGAGAACTGGCTAGCCGGATACAAGAATGAGCCTTTTTACTGACAACAGATATTGAAGTTACCTAACACTCCTAAGATTAACACAGCTGCCTTATAAAGGAATATGTGTGTGGGCCAGGCTCAGTCTTAGTGCTTTCAAGAACTCTGTGATGCAGTTCATTGCTTCTGGCATACACACAACTGGGCCAAAAATTCCTTTAGCAAACCTGACTTGGCTGCTTTTATGAAAGCAGGTCTCTAGTTGGTTTTGTTCCTTTAGAAAGATCCCATTTCTGTGCTGTTGAAGGTAGGGGTAGATAGCTTTGTTTAAAAAAAAAAAACTGCGAACTATTGGCAACATCAAGCAGCTGCTTTTTTAGTAAATATTTCAGTGGAACACACCACGTGCCCTTATTTGCATTTTATGTCTGGCTGTCATTCCACCTTGGCTCCCTCCCTGAGAGCTCAGTAATTGCAAGGTTGCAAAGATTTGCTGTCCCTATAAGAACATCTGCTAACCCCTAGCTTAGAGCATTAACGGAAGCTTTCCATGAGCATAGCAAGGCCTGTATCAAAATAGAGGGTAAAGACCAATTTCATGAAGAATGTAGGTAATGATGTTACCAAGACATGGAGGAGCCCTGGGAAGGGACTGTAGCTCAGTCACCCACAGCAGCCATGAGTATGGAAAGGGTGTCAGGTAACGAAGCTTGAACAGTGATCAATTAGCCTGCAGGACAATGGGATAGAACACTGGCCTTGGGCTTGAAATCTTGGCTCTAACACAGATGAGAAGGAAACCCTAGGGTGAAAGGCAGAGGCCTAGAAAGGGGAGGACAGGGCCTTTTGTGTGGGCAGGGGAGGGTAGCAAAGGTAAATCCACTGGTCCTATGCATTCAAGAAGGGAAAATCAGTAAGAAAAAAATGGGGGGAGGGGAAGAACAGTGGTTAACAGTGGTGACGGTGATCACATGGTGCCAGGGGGACTCAGTCAGTTGAGCTCAGGTCATGATCTCAGTAAGTTTTAGGCTCAGTGTAGAGCCTGCTTGGGATTCTCTCTCTCTCCAAATACACTTTTTAATTAAAAAAGAAATAAAACAGTGGTTACAATGATCAGATCCTCTTCCAGAATCCCATCTTTCCCCTCTCCACCTTCACCACTTTCCATCTACTTAACCCTTCAAAAAGTGGTGTGAAAGTTCTGGCCCCAGCAGGCCTTTCCCAACACCAACACTGCAGTCTCTCCCAGGTTAGTTGAAGACATGCCCCGTGTGGCAGAGTTGCCACAATGTCCTTTCTGTCCTTGTCCCTTCACAGGAGTGTCAAGTGGGCATACACCCTCCCAGAATATCAGACTGTACCTCCCAGCTTCCCCGGGCGGCTAAGGGGAGGGACTTCTATCTGCTCAACAAGAGCAGTGTAGAACCTTACCCAAAAGCCCACACATGTTCTTTGTCCCTTTTCCTTTCCTTTTCTCCTGACTTGGAACATGCAAGTGGAAGCTAAAACACCCCTGAGGGGCATCAGAACAGGAAGGTGGATGAATTAGGTCCCTTTGGTGGCAGAGCTGCCCCGTGTGGTCAGCGTACCCCCTATACTCTTATACTTCAGAAAGTAGTATCTCATTTAGACCAGTTTTCCACATTCTGTGAAGCTCTATTTCTCTCCCAATGGTGACTACTACCCCAATTCTAACCAGGAAGCTACCAGAGAGGATGACGCTCCAAAACTGGACCCGGCTTCTGAGGCTTCTCTTCCCTTCAAACACCCACTCCCCTCCTCTGCCCCGCCCCATCTTGTGTGAGGTGTTTTACCTAAGTATTAGAGGTCAGAATTTAGCCCAAAGGAGGTAGGGAATCCTAGGAAGATTTTAAAGTTACTCTCTTTCCCTGGGAAAGGCTTTAAACATCGATAATTCAACTTATTTTTAAAAATTTTAATGTCATTCAACATGGGTCTAACAAACCTGAACTAGCACATTGTTAACTTACACCATCCCCCCAAAAAGCATATTTAAAAAAACACGTTAACAAGGTTAATATCAAAATTAAGCTACCTACATACATTATGACTATAAATTTTTCTAAATGAGCCTAACTATCCTTAAGACCTGGAATTTTAGGACATAAGGACAAGTCCTGCTCATGAATAGTAATCACGAGGGTAATCGTAAGGGTCCAAGTCGATCAGCACCGAAGTATGAGCTCTGTTCAGTCGTGTTGGAATTCCTTCAGCAAGGAGTGTTCTCAGCGTGGACACATCACCAACTAAGCGGTTCACCTTCGGATAACCAATGAGTCTTTTCAGGGGTACATAAAACCTCTTTCCCACAGAGTAGGGTTTGGGGGACTTCTCTATTTGGGCTACTTGGGCATCAGTGAGGAATAACCCAGGCCGTCTGACCAGGCTCCTGTCAATGTCTTCTTCAGACTCGGGTTCATTGGATTCCTTTCTCTTGAGAATCCAGACATACTTCTGTCTTATGGCTTCGACTTCTTTTAACACCTCCGTACACAGTACAAACAAGAGGAAGTGTTTTTGCTGCAAACTCGGGAATGAGGCTGTGAAAACCTGAAGGCAAATAGAAATGCCAAACTATAATGAGAGTCAAACTACTGACATAGATGTTATCTGATCTGCTTTTAAAAATTCTAATTCTCAAGATCAAAGTCACAAAAGCCAACTACGAAGTCACACTATTCACCAATTCACACTAACCCAATGTTCCTATACTTGATATTAGAGGGAAAAAGGTAAAAAATTTTGTTAAGAGAAATATGTTTATTCTTCACCATACCTCCTGAACCCAAGCAAAAGGGTCTAAGAAGCTCAAGCTTGGAGGCTCAGCTGCAGTAGTCATTTCCTGAGCCACGCTGTGGCTGGAGGAAGTCTGCTGGTATTCCTCTTTCCTGCTGCTGATCCCATCAGATTACAACCGGACGGGGGCCGGGGCGGGGGGGGGGGGGGGGGGGGGGGGGGGGGGGGGGGGGGGGGGGGGGGACCTTGCTGGCCCCAACAGCTTGGAAGCTTTCTAGGATTCCAGATCTTTCTCTGCAGTGTGAGACGTGGCATAAGACCACCAGGACTGCAGTAGACCCACCCTGACACCATTTGTGGGCATGAAGGATCTTCCTCCAGTCGATCTCAAAATAAGGTCATTTTTACTTATCCCTACAGTGGGGACTCTGTACCTAATCTATGTGCTTTTTTTGCCCTGGTAGCTACCTCACAAAGAATACTCACAACTTGATAAGTGTGTTCCTCTGGCTGTGAATCCGAGGATCCAGTTGGTTTTGCCACGATCCAGCTGCCAGGCTCTGGTTGCTTTTTCTTGAAGATCCCTATCTGGGTACAGTATCCAACATGCTTAGCCCATGGTGGTGGAGCACCCACACCAGTAAACTCTACAGTGTAATTGTAGAGTTTTGCCACATTTGAAGCCCTGAAAATCACAAGAAACCATTTTCTGAAACTTAGAGGTTCTGTTAAAGAATTTCCCCTAGAATAGAGCATAATAAATACAACTAAAATACTTCCCAGTTGCAAATTCTTACAACACCAGGTAGTGCCAAATCACAGGGTTTGCTTCCTTCTGAGGGGCTTTAGGATAATGAGTCAGTTCCAAATAATCACAAAGAGAGAGAAAGGGAAAGTTACAGAACAGAATTTAAGAGTAAATAAGGAGACCATGATGCCTACAGTCCCAACACCCGTTTGGGTTTGCAGTTATGCTAGAAACCAGAAACATGACCACCCTTCAAGCTCCTGGGAGGAATCACCCCTGCACGTGAGGGCGTGAAGCCCATCTTCACTGCCCCACACCCTGTTCTGTCTCCTCATCTGCACACCAATATGCCTCCTGATGCCAGGCACCACATTTCCACGCTTGCCTGTGGGACATAAGAAATAAACTTCCCCATTTCTTTTGCCCGAAATATGCTGGTCGCTTTAGGATCTTACTAATTGCTAAGCTGCATCCTGGGAATTTTATTAGGATAAAATACTTTCAGTAATGCATAGGGGTCAAGATTGACTTCATAGCATTTGAAACTCCTGTGAGGTCCCCCAGCCCACCCCCCCAAAAAAAAAGCACTTATGAACTCACCAGTGCTGAAACTGCTTTTGGTTCCACTCAAACTTGTGATCTGAATTTCTAAAGGTTGATGCTGGAAACAGGGGATTGAAATCTGAGTTTGGTGTGCTGATGACAACCATACCTGGAGAAAAGTACCCAAATACGACTTCGGGAAACTTGGCCAGATCTTCAGAATCCAAATGTTCTATTCTGAAATGGTTAAAGGGAATGACAAAATAAGTTATCTTGCCAGTATTTTCCTAGTTGATTTAGCCAACAGTTTCTATCTCTACATTGATTCATCCCTTCTCCGAATATATAATAATACTTACATGACCTAAAATCAACAACTCACTCTGCCCTTCAGCCACATTGCCCCTCACTGGCAGGATGCAAAGACAATCACTTCTATGGGAGACCAGGACAGTGAATGTATAATGAGAAGAGAAAACAGACAAAGCCAGACACCGGATGTATAGCCAAGTGCCAGAGACGACATGCGAGGTCCGCAGCAACAGCAATGAACAATGGATTCAAGGATGCAAGGGGGGGATGGCAAGCTCCCCAGGACCCCTGCAGGGCCGTAAGCCCAGAATATAGGTCTTAAATAAGTTGTGGGCTTCAGCAGCAGATCCCAGTAGAGATCCTCACCCACCTCCAAGGACAAGATCAGTTGCCTACAGGCAGCCAGTAGGAGCATACCCCTTCACTGGGGGAGTTATCAACATTAGCATCACGGGGGAGAGACAAATGGACGTTGGGCCTCTGTGAATGGAAGCCCAGAGAAGGACCCAAACACCCTTCTACAGTATCCCAGGAATGCATAATCACCAAGAGCCAAAAAAGTGAGTATTCTTATTAAAAATGAGGTGAAGGGGACTGGTTATTTAACACCCCTGCTCTTAATTACATCCTGAATTAGGGGCAAAAGGCCATAATGAGTAAAACCTACCCTTAAGTAACTCAGAAAAAGTATACGGGCGAAAATAGGTGAATCTGGATAAAGGGTGATTCTGGCACTGCTTGCAGCTTATCTGTAAATTTGAAATTTCTAAATTAAAGCCCCAAAAGATGCTAGTAAAAAGCCAGTCTGAACTGTCAAGCATATGCTTTACAAATCTGAATTAAAAGGACTTAAATCTAGTTAGGACACTAATTTAAGGAGACTAATTCACATTTTTCTAATAACTTCAATACAGTAAGAATACTTACAATTCAATACATGTTATCAAGTCAAATCCAAGCAAACGGGAGTCTTTCTCTACAGCAGAGCCACGATACAAGACAATACTCAAATCAAGGTCCCTAGGACCTAAATGATCCCCTACTGATGGAGACAACCTATCACTGCAAAAATATAGAAGAAACATTTCAACATTCTAATTTAGAGTATTCACCAACTAGAAGTCTGATAATCACCTAACCTTCTGAGGATTATCTCCCTATTATCTGTTTTCCATGACTTGATGTATTAAGCACCAGGTCATAGAGTTAACTTCCTCTCAGAATTGGCTAACGAGAACCAGATATTGAATATTGCCTTTGCTCAATATTTTTGGTCTTCCCACTCCCTCTAGATCAGTGATTTCGACTTTTCCTTCTTTAGAAGAAAAACATTCCTGAAAAAAATTGTAGAAGTCAATATAGAGAGAGACTGGAGAGCTGCTCTGATTTGAATTAAATTAAAAGATCGGGGGCAATTTAAATCTTCTGTAATGTGTTGCTGTGGGGTCCAGCATTAAAGAAATTAGATTTTGAGGCATGTGGGTGGCTCAGTAAAGCATCCTACCCTTGGTTTCGGCTCAGGTCATGATCTCAGTTCATGAGTTCAAGCCCCCAGTGGGACCCTCTCCCCCTCCCCAACTCCTGCTCTCTCGAAATAAACTTAAAAAAAGAAAAAGAAATGTAAGGTTTTGCCATTTGAATTACCTGTTCCAATCCAATAGACGGTCCATGAGGAGATCTACCCCAACAAGTTCTTGAACACAGCTGTGGAATTTCAGCATGCATAAGAGTGTGGCATTACCACACCCCAAGTCTGCCACCTACACATGAAACAGAACACTGAACATGTATCTAGAAGTTAAATATGACCAGAAACTTTATAGAGAAGTGGGTATCAGAAATAAATTACAATTTAATAAACCATTATATGGCAAGATCTTTTTTGGTAGGACAAAAGTACACAAAAAGGAAATTACTCTGAGACATTAGCCGGAGTGGGGGTGGGACAGATTTGTGGACTGTTACAAGTAAATTCTAATTCAGGCTGAGTATCAAGAGCATCCTAGGGGCCTGGCACAGGCGCACCACATGGCAAGCAGGTACCCTATACAAACCTTATACTTCTCAGCTTCATAATGAAGACAAAACAAGGATGCCCACCAAACATCAGGACAGAGCCGGATTTTTACCAGTGCTTTATAATTTATCTACAGTCTTGTCAATCTATTCCCCTTATTGTAAATTTCATACAATCCTTAAGTGGATTTTTTAATCATGCCCTAAAGTCTTCATTTACCACAGGTGAATCACCTAAATTTCTGATTGCCACTTTAGGAAAAGGAAATTAAGATAAAACTTAATCAAATGACATTTAAAGGTACCTTTAAAGGTACCCAGTCCCAAAGATGACCCAAATCAGCTTCTAGTGTAGCTAACTGGCTCTAATCCAGTCTAAAGGGGATACCTGGGGATTTGAACTATTTCTAGATACTCAGACATGAAAGATTCCATATATGTTAAAATGCACAAAAAGGTTTCCACAGGGTTTAAAAAACAGACTAAAGTTTACCTCAAAATTCATCCCATTAGAAAACTAAGATCATAAACTCTCTATTACAGCCATTACCAGGTTGCTTTAAAAAAAAAAAAAAAAAAACCATTAAGGGGGCACCTGAGTAGCTCAGTCAGTTAAGCAGCCAGACTCTTGATTTCAGCTCAGGTCATGATCTCACAGTTCAGGCCACCATCAGGCTCTGTGCTCACTGTGTAGAGCCTGCTTTGGATCCTGTCTCCTGGCCCTCCCAACTCACCAGGACTCTCTCTCAAATTAATAAACGTTAAAATTTTTAAATTTTAAAAACAAAAATTTAAAAACAAAAAGCCACTAATTCTCGTCTGGAAAAGGGGAATACAACTATACTTTAGCAATAAAGGCACATTTCAGGGAACCTGAAACCTGGCAGGCTCTGTGCAGAGAGTGGAGATTCTCTCCCACTCTCGACCCCTCCCCCACTCAGGCTCTCTCCCTCTCTGCCCCTCCCCTGCTCACTCTCAAAAGTAATTTTTTTAAGTTTATTTTAAGAGTGAGAGAGCATGCAGCAGGGGATCACAGAGAGATGGAGAGAGAATCCCAAGCATCAGACTGTCAGCACAGAGCCCAATATGCGGCATGAAACTCAGGAACCTTGTGAGGTCATGACCTGAGCTGAAATCAAGAGTGTGATGCTTAACCTATTGAGCCACCCAGGTGCCTCTCAATATAAGCTTTAAAAAAAAATAAGGCATATTCAACCTATACTCAGCCCTCAAATGTGTTTTGACTGCAAAGCCATGTCCTTCAATGTTTTAGGTAAACCACAATGTTGTGCCCTTAGCCACATTCAGTAATTTTCTTTCCTGAAGCAGGCACACTTATGGGGGAGAAGAGTTACACAGCAAGCATTTAAAAAACCTAGTCCCAGAAAGCAAATTACAGTCTTAGCAGCTTTAAACTGTATTTATATAGTATACCTAATTTCTTATTGGCCCAGCTAGCTAAAGCTTTTCTTCCCATACACTCCTTAACTTGAAGGCCCCTAGTCAAGAGTTCCCTCCTAGAAAACAGGATAGCCTCAAGGGAATTACATTGCACTTTCCAATCACACCACCCTTTCATCCCACTTCCCCATACCCAGTTTATGTAAAAGCCTTTTTTCCAACTACTGGGATACATGTAGATCTTATGGACAATGTTCTCCCTATTGCCCTAATCTCTTTTCTTCCTTGGAACAAATCTTTGCATAGTGTAAACATACTTGCTAAATCCTTAGGGTTTTTTTCCTATTTTTTGACTACACATTTCATAAGACCCTCTTCAGTGTTTTCAAAGTGTTTTCTCCACACTGTCAGCACAGAGCCTGACATGGGGCTTGATCTCACAAACCATGAGATCATGACCTAAGCTGAAGTCGAGTCAGATACCCAACTGATTAAGCCACTCAGGCACCCCAAAATAAACTTTTATTTTTAAAAAAAGGAAAAATACTTACCTTCTTGGGTTTATATTGATTCACTATATCCTTAACAAAGAAGTATCTTTGTTTGTATAATGGAGGTCTGAACTCAATCACATTCTTGCGGGCAACAGTGCTTTGCTGAAACTTTATAAACCAAAAAAAAAAAAAAGTAAGTGTTCTCAATCATGCCCAACTTCAGAAACTCCACCAGGAAACACCAGCTTCATTTCCCCAGTCACTTTGTAGAATACCATGACCTTTCAACCACATCTCCTAAAGTCACTGTGTGGTACTACATTTCCTCCCCAGTTCATCTAAGCCTTCTCCTGTTTTTTTGAGAATCTGGCTTTATGCTTCCCTAGAGAGTTTAGAGTCTGCTGAAAGCAAAATTCCTAATGAATGCATAACAATTCTGTCTCCTCGCCACAAGGGACCTATAGTGGAGTGAACTGCCAAAGCCAGTCCAGGTAGACAGGAGACTGAAAAATACTTCTTGACCCAACTGAAGTCAGGCTCCTTAAAACCTCTTCTGACTAGGCCTTGACAAGTCTTTGCTTAGCCCAGTTTTTACCAAGTCAATTGAGAGAAAAATTCCCCACCCTTAACTCATTAAACTCTATCTGATCAAATTCCTCACCACCACTTTTGCTATCTGATCCCCCTGAGCTGCCTTAATCAAGATTCCTGTTAAATCTTAGCAAGACCCAACACCCTTGTGGTCTCTACTCTTCCACTGTTCCCCACTCTTTTCATAGGCTATAAGTCCAGAGCTGTTGCAAATAGGGAGTTAAGCCCAAATCCACCTCCCCTATTGCCATGCTTATTTCACAGTCCTTGAAAAGCCTTCCTTTTTCATTGAGCTGTATTAATAAATCACTTCTATAAATGTCAGAATTTCTTTAACATGAGGAATGCTTAATCATAACATCTGGATTAATTAATTAATCCAGAATAGCTGTAAAGGTTTTTTAAGTAGGCTTCACACCCAGCACACAGCCCAACACAGAGCCCAACCTGGGGCCTGAACTCACAACCCTGAGATCAAGGGTGGCGTATTCTACCAACTAAGCCAGCCAGGCACCCCCAAACTGCCTTCAATCACTTGCTTACACGTGGTCAAAATCAAATTTCTTCAGACCAAAATGTCCTCAATGCATCAGGCTCTGAGCTGAGAGGAACCTTCTTCTGATTCTGCCTCCCTCTTTCTGCTCCTCTCCCACCACCTCGCAAAAATAAACATTTTTTAAAAAATGTGCCTAAGGTAGAGTTTAACAACTGAAAATCGTTTCACTTCAGATACACCAAATGTGAAAGTCCAACTATGTAGATTCTTGTTCAATCCCAACCAATACCCTGGGAAACGCGAGGGACTGAATCTGATGCATTTTATTTCTAACTACCTCAGAATACCCCTCAGGGATAACTCCTACAAGGAGCATTACCTCTTCCATGCTGTTTTTTTCCATTTTGTTTCCAAGTTTGAAGTTTCGTTGAGACAAAAAGAGCAGATTTCTCCTTCAAGTATCAGCAGTGGCTCTTCCGTAAAACACAAAATTAGTTCTCATAAATAGGGGCCTGGACAAGAAAGAACTGCATTGATCAACAAGGAAATTAAGTGTCTGGCTTCAGCTCAGGTCATGATCTTCTGGTTTGTCAGTTCAAGACCTGCATCAGGCTCTGTGCTGACAACTCAGAGCCTGGAGCCTGCATCGGATTCTGTGTTTCTCCCCACCCCCACCCCACCTCTCTCTCTCTCTCTCTCTCTCTCTGCCCTTCCCCCGTTCACATTCTGTCAAAAAATACTTTTTAAAAATAATTTAAAAAAAAAAAAGCAAGGAAAGGGAGAAAGCAGACTTCCTTTTCTTTATGTATTACCATTTAATCCACAGAATTTACTCACTATGGTTTCAGATAAGAAACAGGCACAGAAAGCCCAAGTGACTTTTCTCTAGGACAAATCTAGCTAAATGCAGTAACACCCATTCTTCCCTGTTCCTGTTAAAGTTAATGCAAACTGAACAATCCTATCCATTGTGACTCTTGCATTAAAGCCCTCAACTTCAAAATTTTTAGGTAGGTTCCACAACCAGCATGGGCTTGAACTCAGGACCCTGAGATCAAGAGTCTCACGCTCTACTGACTGAGCCAGCCAGGCACCCCACCTCCCCCCCAGAATTTCTTTCAAGCACTTGCTCACACATGACCAAAATCTAATTAAGAGGATATGGGGCGCCTGGGTGGCTTAGTCGGTTAAGCGTCCGACTTTCGCTTAGCTCATGATCTCGCGGTTCGTGGGTTCGAGCCCCGCGTCGGGCTCTGTGCTGACTGCCAGCTCAGAGCCTGGAGCCTGTTTCAGAGTCTGTGACACCCTCTCTCTGACCCTCCCCTGCTCACGCTGTCTCTCTCTCTCTCTCTCCTAGAAATAAATAAAAATATTTTTTAAAAAAAGGATAAAAATGCCCTAAATAATTGATAAACTAAACATGTCAACATCTATACAATTCAGATGGACTTGAAATTAAATTTTGGTTCTCAGCCTAAAATGTAAGCATCGTGTCAATCACCTCACTTTTCAGTTATTCACTAAGTCCACCCCAATGCCAAGGTCTGCATGGGGCACCCTCCCCCGCACGTCTTACCTCCGCGTAAGAAGCTGGACCGCAGCAAAGCAAAGCGCAGGGAACACTGCCTGGGCCCACGGAGCCGCTAAGGCATTTAGCTCCGGGCCCCGCCCCTGACGCCTCCGCAAGCGCCGCCTCGCCGCAGGGCGTTACCCGCCCAGACCCACACCTGCACCGCCCACACCTGCGCCGCCGGCTGTCCCGCGGGACTCGCTAATCTTCAGCGGTAGGTGGCGCTCGCCGGCCCCGCGCCCAGCCCGGTCCCTCTCTCCGGCCCCAGGTTCCAAGGCGTCGGTTTTGCGTCTCTTAACGGCCGCTGTGGCGCATGCCCCGAGGCCATTTTTCTGGCAGTCCCTCTGAACCTCCGTAAGACCACTGTCCCCGCCACGTCCCCCCACTGGCGCGCGGCTGCGACCCGCCCCGGCCCCTCCAGGAGCCGGACTGTTGAATCGAGGCGGCGGCGCCGCAGGCGCGTCTGCGGGCCGAGAGCGGGGCGGCGGGCTCGGCGGCTGTTGGGGTCCTGGCTCTCCCCGTTCGCAGCAAAGAACAGAAAACGGTCCCCGGCAGCGGAAGGCAGCCAGGTGAGCGGCCAGGCGGAGCTCGAGCGGGCCGGCGGCTTGTGTCCGAAACGGCCGCCTCTGCGAGCCTCAGAACAATTCCCAAGGGCCTGGAGAGGCCTCTGGGCTGGGTCAAGTTGGCCCAATAACATCTGAGCTCAGAAGAACGTTCTTGCAGCCCCCAAACCTCCAACTGGTAATTTACGCATGCCGGGGAAGCAGCTGTAGGATCTCCTAATTCCCCTGCCGGACGTTTAACCTGACGCTTTGTAATCGCTCACTCCTTTATCGTACGTGGCGGTGGAAGAGTTTAAGGAGGGGGAGAGGAGGGATGCGAAGCCCCCGCCATTGGGAAAAAAATATTTTTACTCCATTTTAAGAGACTCCGAAGCTGGTGTTTACTAATGCATTAATAATCCTCTGATATACCATAAACTATATATTAGGACTGTACTTTCAAACACAGCACCTGCAATATGCAAAGGACAGTGCTAACAGCTTTGGAGTATCACGAGGATAGATTACACAGTTCTTGTTTTTGGTGTTTTGAGGGGTCTAGTCTCATAGTAAAAAACCAAAACCAAAAACAAAAAAAACACATAACTCAAGCTTCACTGAGAGGTTCCTGTTGGCCTGGGGTAACTGCAATTTCAACAGACTGTCTTCATTAGAGTAGCATATTCCTTATTACAGAATGTATAATTTCAACAGAACCTTACAAGTTAATAAGTAAATTCCACTTCTGGGTATTTTTTAATTAATTAAGCAAGAAGGCCATTAGACCGAGGCGACTCCAGTGCCTTCGCAGCCCTACATCAGCAAACCTAAACCTCTTAAGTGGCTCGAGGTTAAAACATGGAAATCTAAGAATGTCCAAGGGCAAGCAGATCACTAGGCTTTCCCAAATAAGGTCATTGTTTAAGCCGTAACCAATCAAATAATTTCCCTGCTTTGCTTTGGCATCTTCCTTATCAAGTCTTCTAGTTCCTGACGGTGGTTAGGACCTACCTGATCTGGATTGATCTTCTCAAATTCCTGAAAATGTCCATATGCTTCAGTTTCTCTATTAACGGTATATATGCAAGAGAATTAAAAGCAGAGACTTGAACAGATATTTGTATGCCAATGTTCACAGCAGTATTTAGAGTAGCAAAAGGTAGGAACAACCCTAATGCCCATCAATAAACAGAAGCCGCATATACATATGAAATACTGTTCAGTGCTTAAAAGGAAGGAAATTCTAACTTACTCCAATATGTTTGAACCTTTAAGACATTATGCTAAGTGAAATAAGCCAGTCACAAAGGGACAAATACTGGAAGGAGGCAAGGCAAGAAGAAAAAATCATTTTCAGGAGCACACTTAAATGGATATCAGATTTTAGTCCTGTTCATTGTCTTTGAGGTTTTGTTAACTACCTGCAGATGGCTAGATCTTGAATTTTTCTAGTTTGCTCCAGTATCTGACTCTGTAACATTATCAATTTTCTCCTATCCTTCTGACTTGGAATCAGAAGAAAGTGTTCTTTTCCAAAAGCCCTGAAAGCTGAGCTGGTTAATTTGATATGAACTCCATGGAAGTCACCATAACAGTTCATGTGTGGACAGCCTTTGTGCCTTGTTATGTGGGCCAAACCAGAAAGTTCACTTGACCACCTGGTGGCATCACCAGACATATTCAAACTGCAACCCAGGAAAATCTATGATCACACTGCCTCTCCTCACTCGGACTGAAGATGCTTCAAGTCCAACATCTAGAAATCTTCTCAACTAACTGTCTTTGCACCCAAAAACTCACTTTATAGTCTGTTCCCTAACTTCTATTTTTCTTTTATTGGGGCACCTGGATGGCTCAGTGGGTTAAGCAACTTCCGCTCAGGCCATGATCTCGCGGTTCATGAGTTAGAGCCCTATGTCTGGGCTCTGTGCTGACAGCTTAGAGCCTGGAGCCTGTCTCCCTCTCTCTCTCTCTGCCCCTCCCCCGCTCATGTGCTGTTTTTCTCTCTCTGTCAAAAATAAACATTTTTTAAAAGTTTTTTAAAAAATAAAGAAATGTCTCTTATTAAATCTTGTTCCATATAGGCTTGACTTTGGGATCTCACCTGCAACACCACCTCCTGAAATGAGGTAGAACTCTGTAACTTCTTCTTGGGGTTAAGAGAGTGGCTCAATAAGGGGTGCCTGGGCGGCACCCCCAGTCAGTTGAGCATCCAACTTTGACTCACGTTGTGATCTCATGGTTCTTGAGTTCGAGCCCCACATCAGACTCGCTGCTGTCAGCACAGAGCCCGCTTGGGATCCTCTGTCCCCCTTCCTCTGAGCCCTTCCCTCTCTCTCAAAAATAAACATTTAAAGGATGTCTAGGTGGCTCAGGTCCTTGAGTTTGAGCCCTGCATCAGGCTCTGTGCTGACTCAGGCTCTGTGAGACTGCTTTGGATTCTGTGTCTCTCTCTCTGCCCCTCCCACACACTCACTCTCTCTCTCTCTTTCTCTCTCTCAACAATAAACATTAAAAATATGCAAGACAAAACTCACTCTTGTTTACTGTGCTTTTCCTGGTAATCTTCCATAATTAGCCTCCCCCAATACGCCTACCCCAACATCTTTTATCTTTATTGAAGATGGTATTTAAGGTCCTGGCTTGGGCTTTCTCTGGGAGTTACTCATTCTTCCCAGGTATCTCCCGTGTACACCTGAGGCATACATGTTAATAAACTTGTCTGTTTTTCTCTCCTTAATCTATTTTTTAAGTAATCTCTATACCCAACATGGGGCTCAAACTCATATCTCCAAGATCGAGAGCCACATGCTTCACTAACTGAGCCAGCCAAGGGCCACCCAAATGTTTTTTATTACAGGGGTCTCAGCCAAAAACTCGGAAGGATAGAGGGAAGTATTTTTCCTCTTCTTCAGTATGAATCCACATATATAAGATACTTAAAGTAGTCAAGTTTATAAAGACAGAGAAGTAGAATGGTGGCTACCAGAGGCTGGGGGAAGGAAGGAATAGAGTGTTGTCCAATGGCTACAGAGTTCAGTTTGGGATGCTGGAAAAGTTCTGTAGATGGGTAGTGAGGTCTTAGTTGCACAACAGTATCAATGTACTTAATGCCACTGAACTACATATTTTAAATGGTAAGTTTTAGGGCACCTGGCTGGCTGAGTCGGTTGGGTGGCTGACTCGATTTCAGCTCAAGTCATGATCTCAAGGTTCATGAGTTCAAGCCTCACATCAGGCTCAGCACTGACAGCGAAGAGCCTGCTTGAAATTCTCTCTCCTCCTCTCTGCCCCTCCCCCACCTGGGCATGCTCTCTCTCCCTCCCTCTCTCAGAGTGTCTCTCTCTCTCTCAAAAGTAAATAAGTGTTTAAAAATTAAATAAAATGGTAAGTTTCAGCATAACATAGACTTGTTGAATCAATATCTTATACAACTGGGAAAAAATTTGTCAGTGTTCTATTTTACCATAATTTTAAAATATTTAAAGAATGTTTTAAGTTAATCAATAACCTGTAGTGGATTCCTGGATCTAGAGTTTTTGCCTTAACCTGTTAGCCAGCTCATTTATGAACTTAATTTCTCCTGTCCAACTTCCTCTCCAAGTTTGCCTATTTCACCTTTTTCCTGGTCTCCTGCTCTCTTTCTGAAAATCCTCCCTGGCTCTGTCCATTTCCGCCCTTCCCATATTTGGACAGTCACCAAATCTTGACTTCTTCAAGCTGTCAGTTGCATCTGTTCCTCCCGTGGCCAATACCTTAGCTTACTCTTTGTCATCTTGTTTTCTCACTGTACCTCATCTTAACTTCTGCCCCCAGATTCTAAGCCCCACTGAGATACAGACCCTGCTCTATACTTTCAGAATGTGTTTTAAGTCAAATAGGCCAAATAGATCTGTCCCCACCCACCACTGTTTCCTTTCTCTTCACCCTACATCTTTTTTGCCTTAGCACTTAATTGCCATTTGATAGCCTAGTATTTGTTCACTTGCTTATTGTCTGTTTCCTCCCTCTAGAATATTAGCTACTAAGGACTTCGTTTTGTTAGCTGTTTTATCTGCAATGTCTAGAGCACTGCCTGCCTGGCACAGAGCAGGCCCTCGGTAAACATTGCTTAGATGCGTTAAAAAATTATTAGACTTAATGCCCTCTGTCTGTTGCTACTTATTATTATTGTAAAATAAAGTCTTGGAATTGGGCCAAGTACGAGGAGATCTCTGGGTGGATGCATGCACATCTATAACAAGGGTTTCCATAATAAATTCTGAGTAAGTTTGTAAGAGTGCTTTTATTTTTTTAAATGTTTATATTTGAGAGGATGTGCAATCAGGGAGGGGCAGAAAGAGAGGGGGACAGAGGATCTGAAGCAGGCTCTGTGCCGACAGCAGAGAGCCCAATGAGGGGCTCGAATGAACCATGAGATCATAACCTCAGCCGAAGTCAGATGCTCAACTGACTGAGCCAACCCAGGTGCCCCTGTGTGTGTGCTTTTATGTGTGTGACAGAGAAAAAGATACACACACAACAGGTTATGTTCTCATAACTTTCTACATGATTATACTGATTTTCTTTATAGTAAAAACATTTTTTTAATATTACTCTCTAACCTTTGGAAATTTACTTACCCTTTT